GCCCTCTACCAGACTCCTGTACCCCACTGGTCTGGGTCTGTCACACTTGCCATGGAGATAAACCAAATCTCTGTGTTTTATATCAATTTTTTATTTTTCTGACTCCACTACAAAGAGATTAAAATTCTTACATTTACAGTATTAGTATGTAGTGCCAAAGAATGACCTAATTCAGAAATAAGGATATGAAGTACTTCCATATTCCTTCTATGATCACTGTTTCAAGCTGTAAGGTAAGTTGTGGCAGGACAGTATATAAAGAGAGCTTTAGATTTTAATCAGTCTGATGAATCAGCATTCCGTATAAGGAAAAAACAATTTTATAGGCATTGTGATATTATGGCATTTGATAAGTTCAGAATGAACTCTGGAAATACTAATTTTCACTGAATACCTAAGTTACGTACGAATACAGCTGATCAATCCACTGTTTTATGCCATGTCACAAACATCAAGCCTTATTCCCCTCTCGTTTACATTCTTGTAAATTGATTAACACCATGTATTTCTGTGGAGTGTCACCATTGTAAAGCTGGTGTGAGTGAGACAAGAAACAGGCCATAGTTGAAAAAAGTAATAGTCTAAGGGCATGTGTACCCTACAAACTTAAGTAGATTTAAGTCGACGTACAGCCTGGGCTATATTTACTGCTGTTTTTCAAGTCCACAACCTGGGAGTGGGGAGCTTGAAGCCCAGACTGCAGCCCAGCTCAAAGCTGGGAGCCAGGAGCCTCCACCTGGAACTGAGGGCCTGTGCTCTTAGCCCCTCCCCCCTCAGTCGGGCTGCTGCCTGGGCTCCCCACTCCTAGCTGGGCTGCTGCCCGGGCTCCCTGCTCTGATCCAGGCAGCTGCCCAGGCTTCCTGCTGGGAGCCTTGTTGCTGCCTGTGCTCCCAGCTCTCCGCTATGATAGGGTTACCATACGTCCTCTTTTTCCCGGACATGTCCGGCTTTTCGGCACTCGAACCCCCGTCCGGGGGGAATTGCCAAAAAGCCGAACATGTCCGGGAAAATGGCAGCTCTGCTCCTCCCCGACTCTTTGGCTCTGTTTAAGAGCCAGGCTGCCCGAGCGCTACCGGCTTCGGGC